TACCTAGGAGCTCTGTGTTTATTGCACATCATGGAGCCAAAAACCTCAGATATCTTACAGTTCTCAAATCCAAGAACCACATTTAATTTTTAAAGGTAAATGCAGGAGCCACTGCAGTGTTGCAGCATGCAATCTATCTGCAATGTCAGCATACGGTGTGGATATTGGTTAATGTTCAAGATACCCCATTTCTTTCTTTTGGTCATTTTTAAGCCTTTAAAAAATTTTTATTTTTCATGATGTTTACATAGTTGTTCAGGGTGGGAAGAACCAAGGGTTAAGGGAAAAGTGGGTGTGATCATCATTTCCAAATTTTGTATTTTTCTTTCTGTATCTAAGAACAAGGGGAGAAGCCATACCCAGCCTCCGAACTGCTTCAGTATACAGTGATGAAGACCGGCCATCCAATGTCAATCCAGGGGCCCCGATACAGCATATGCTCCGAGGGTTCTGCCCAAGTGGTTTCACTAGTTTTGAAATGCTATAGAAATCACTAGTCCAAGGGTCAGGAACCCCTTCCAATGTCCATTGGTTGAAATAGACTCAGAGTTTCCACTCACCTAGACATTTGCAGTGATCTTTTGGCTGGGGTAGTTGTCCAATTTGTTCTGCTCTCCTTCCTCTGCTATGGTACCAGATATCTTCTACAGACCCCAATGGACTGTCATATCTTCTGAGCCAGCCTTCTACGCTCTGTCTTTTCCACTGAGAAAGCCCAGCTCTGACACATGAATTCCACAGTCAGACCACCAATCCTGGATGTGAATCCCCAGGCCCACACATTACTATACTGCAGTTTAAGCTCATTGTGCTGTAACATCTGCCTCCTTTTTCAGATTTTAAGTCACAAATTCACTTTCTTTAATGGCATGATAATCCAGATTGTGTATTTCATTTTCATTAACCTATGGTTGTTTGTGGTCATGCAGTAACCAGTCCATTGCACTGGCCACATTTTTAAGTATAAAATTGATCACAGTACTTACTCTCCATTGTCCTTCCAATAGCTATAGTGATATGCTTTGTTTTACTTCTGACATTGGTGATCGTGTTCTCCTTGTCATTTTTGGCCACACTGCTAGAGGCTTATCACTTTCATTGATTTATTTAAAAAGCCTCAGCCATTTTGTTTCTTTTCCCAACACTTTCTTATTTGGAGTGATATTAACTTCCACCCCTTATGATTCCCTTCTTTCTGCATGCTTTGGGTATATTCTGATTTTCTTTTTCTGGTTTCTTGAAATAAGACATGAGAAGACTGAATTAAGACCTTTCCTTATTTCTGGTGCAAGCATACAGAGCTGTACATTTCCTCCCCAACATGGCTCCAGAAGTTACTGTCATTGCCAAGGTCATTGCCAATCCCTAATCTGCATAACTGAATTTTTAAAGTGTTGACATGATATACTCAAGAAGTCTCAAATTTGGTGAAACTTTTCATGCATTTCCCAAAATCCATAAAACTGCAAAATCTGAAACATTTCCGGCCCTAAGCTTTTCAGATGAAGGATACTTGACTGCACTGCACCAAAATTAGGCCGTTGCTCCATCAGAGGCATGGAGAAAAGCAGCAAAACACTGCCAAACAGGAGACAGGGGCTTCAGAGAGGTGAGAAGAAGAAGCCCAGTTCTTGGATTGTCCCCCTACTGAGGTGCTCACATTGGTACTAAGATGTGACTCAATATTTGGTGAGTTGGGTCTAACCAGGCCACGAAGTGGTTCGTTCTTGTTGGAGTTTATCCCTTTGTTAATGACATGGAATTTTGGTGCAAGGGACGATCAGTAGGATTGGGAAAGAAGCAAAAGTCCTTTCTTTGATAGGGAACCTTTTTTACTGCTCAGTAAAGAATCTGTGAACTGACAATAAATGATGTTGAGGAGTTAATTTTGCTACTTGTTGGCCACTTGAGAGGAAAAGAAAGTTATTAAACTTAGATGTATCTTTTCTCAGATGAGTTTCTATAATCCATGCCTGGTTTGGCATGAATCATCATCACAGGAAATTCTGAGATCTCTGTGAAGTTCATTCTGTTCCCTTTTCAGCTACCCCTTCCCCCCCTTTGCTGAGTATGTGAAGATCCTCCATCCATGCACAGATTATTGAACAAAGTAAATAGATTATTTAACTCACTGTATTTTTATTTCCTGAGGAAAAAACACAAATCTTACCTTCTTTAGCCAAGAAAGTCCAAAATTGATTCAATGAAAGTGAAAAGCACAGTGTTTTCTAGGCACAAATGTATTCCTGAACCTGATGGAACGGAAATTAGACTAATGGAGGCTCATAGAAATGATAGAAAAGGAATCTAAGAGCAAAGAATGGATTAACTCCATCAGGAACTCACCAGACAGGAAGACTAGGTTTCAAAGGGCAGAGTGCAAATCCTCAAACAGGAAAAAAAATTTAAGTATGATTCAATTTTCTATCTAACTACAATCTCTTAAAGCTGACACTTGAGATTGCTCTGCAAGATAACAAGGCATTTACTGACAAGTTTTCCCATGAAAGTTCCTGCAACTCAGGATGATCTGCACAGGTGCTAGCCAATTGTGGGGGGTGGTACGGGAGAACCTCTCACATGAGAGCATTGGATATGCATACTGTTCTGAAGGAGACTGGTTGACAAGGTACCACACATGCCTAGATCCACCATTCCTCTGGGATTTCTCTTTTCCAGCCAAAAGTCCCTACTATATTCAGCAACTAAGACATTATCAATTTATTTGTTGCTGTTCTGCTGTCCAACTCCTATTTCTCTTTTTCAGAGAGAACAAGATCACTACCATTTAGAGTAAGTTGAGTACCTATCTGCACTTGTCAAACCTTAGCATTGGCATGAAACAGAAGACACTAAAATTGTGATTTGGTGGAGGGTTTTCTATATGATTTTGCACCTGCTAGCTTTTATAAGCCCTCTTGGTGAGAAAAGAAAACAACATGACTCCAAATGAAGAATTAACTGTATCCCAATGCACCTAGGGGGGAAAAATGTCACAATCATGGATCTACATACAAGAGCCAAAGGGGCAAGGTAGTAACTACAGTTTTCCATTATTGGTTGTCATCCTTAAGGCCACAATTTGGTATGAACACTGGCAGCTTCAATGACATCAACAAAATCATTATATATCTTTACACTGCCCCATGTGCAAATCCTTCATTTTAGAATCCATTGACCCATGTTTCTTCCAACCCCATATGCAGCATAATCTTAGATTTAAGGCTTATAATCTCAGAAGATGTAGTCCCCATCTTTTTCTCTCCAATTCACATGCACACTTTCTTATGAAGTGATATTCCAGATAATTATTCAAGCCTTAGATATCAAAGCAGATAGTAATAGCTTGTTTCATTATTCTTGTATCTTTAAAAAAAAAAAGACTTATTTTATTTTTACTGGAAAGTCAGATATACAGAGAGGATCAGAGACATAAAGATCTTCTGACTGCTGATTCACTCCCCAAGCAGCTGCAATGGCTAGAGCTGAGCCCTTCTGAAGGTAGGAGACCAGAGCTTCTTCTGGGTCTCCCATGTGGGAGCAGGGTCCCAAGACTTTGGGCCATCCTCGACTGCTTTCCCAGGCCCCGTCATGGAGCTGGATGGGAAGTAGGCTTGGAGGGATTAGAACAAGCGCCAATATGGGATCCCAGGGTGTACAAGGTGAGGACTTTAGCTGGTAGGCCACAGTGCCAGGCCCTATCCCTGTGTCTTTAATTCCCTCAACTGCTCATCACATAACAAACATCAAAAATTACATTTCTCAGCCTTTTTCCCATTATTACCTCCCCTGAGAAGTCTTTTTAGCCATTTTTAATCATATTCCTCATGAAATTTTAATGGCATAGATAAATATTTATTTATCTAATGCATGTAGGCTTATATACTTAAGCCCATAGGCTTATATTTAGAGTGAGACTTGATCCTCCATCAAGAATTAATTTTGATCTCCCTGAGTGAGATACAAATGCTGTTTAGGAAGCAGGAGCTTAAAGCATCCAACAACTCAAGACATTTTGCTAGAACCATTTTTTTTTCACTTAACTCTAATATTCAGTAGAATATAAATAATTTAAAACATTCTCCTTTGGGCAGGCATTTGGCCTGGAAGTTAAGAAGTCACTTGAAACACATGTCTCATATTGGAGTGCCTGTGTTATAGACTTGGCTCCACCCCAATTTCAGTTTCCTATTAATGTGTACTCTGGAAGCCAGCACCAGTGACTCAAGCAGCTAGGTCCCTGCTTATCCCATTGCAGACCTGGATTGAGTTCTTGCTTTGGCTTCAGCTTGGCAAGCCAATCTAGGCATTTAGGAAGCAGTGGATGGATGCTCTCTTTTTTCCCAAATGAATGAAGGTTTAAAAACCCATCCTTCTCCTAGTTTAGGGTAGTTTTTGTCTACTGAGACTGCCGTTCCTAAAACCCATTTTCTCCTCGCATAGTGCCTATTGCCTCTTGTTTTGTCCTTCACAAGAGTCTACAAAATTAGCAGCATTCCCCTCAAGGTAACATCAATTCCTTTTGATGTTTCTTCAATTCAAATATGCTTTAGTTATGTGCTATATTAGTCCACTTTCTTTCACCAATAAGAAAATACTACAGACTGAGTGGATTATAAAAAAATGATTTATGTTGGCTCACCATGCTGGAGATGCAAGGGACAGGGACAGTAACCAGCGATGGTGTTCTTGCTGGCAGGATCTGAGGTGGCCCGTGGCATATATCTCTTCTCATTTTTCTTCTTCTTGTAAAGCCACAAGCAAACAATCATGCAGCTCCAACTTAAAGATTTCATCTAATCCTAATCACCTCCAGAGCCCTTCCTATAAGCACACCAGCTAGACATTTTATACACTTGTAATATCTCACAACCAATAGTACATTTCAATAAATGAAATCCTGGGAGACACACATGAATCCCATTCAAACCAAAGCATAAATCAAAACACAAATAATGTGAAATCATTTTGCACTCCACACACTAGATAAATGGACTTACTTCTTGTCGTTTGAAGTTCTGGACATATTCTTCAAATTGTTCATCTTTTGTCTCATCAGCTTTGCCCAGCTTCTGGAGGACCTGGTTAGTGAAGAAAACAAAACAGTTTAATTTAATGATGTTCGCAAAGGAAGCTGTGCCTTCCCTTACACAGTTGTTCCCTTCTGCGCAGTCAGTGCTGTTCTGCAGGCCTCTGGGTCTGTGGATCTGGAGTTGAACCTGGAATTGAACCATACTCTTGCCAGTCACAGACTATATGACTTGCAGCAAGTTTCAGGCTATGCTGCATTGAGTTATTTACATACCTGCCTCCTCCAGTAAACAAGGGCTCAGGCCAGACAGACTTATAATTACACTTACATCTATATGACTAATGCGTCCTTGAACCATCCTCTGAAAGTCAAGGAGAGAATCACACAATTTAGTCTTCTGAAAGCAAGGAAACACTCCTTTCCTTAAACTATTAATATTTACCAAAAAAAGGTACTCAGAAAGGTGTCTATTTTACCCACTAAATCCAGCAGCAAACTACACAGGATGGACACGATCTCTTCTGGACAGAACAAAAGTGCAATCATCTATTCTCACTCATATCCACATCATTCAATCATTCACCTGCCCACATCCCCATCTGCTTTCCTGATCATTCAGAAAGAATTTATCCAGCACTCACCCTGACACAATAAAGTCCCCAAACCCCAAAATGGAAGAAGGTCATGAGAAGAGGGTCAATGTGTAGTGTTGCTACTTGCTCTGAAGCATCTACTGAATTATTTCCCAAAGTTCAGGTTATAAGCCCTTGGAACTCTTTCTGGATGTATTGCAGGCCTTAAAAAATGTCTTTTATTTCCCCAAATTTGAGAAGAAAGAGATAAGCTGCTACAATATCATCTTTTGATGTCATGTGCCCTCCAGGGTCCTTCCATTGTCCTCTAGCTTCTCTTATGAGTGATTTATTTCTGTACCATTATGGCATCCACTCCTTGTGCTGGCCAGTTTCAACAGTACATTATCCATCACGTCATCAAATTCTATCTTGCTGACATGAGTCTTCCTGCTTATTCTGGAAGACATTTTGGGGAAGGTAAGCAAGAATAGGTAAGAGAAAGTTCGCAGTTCCCAAGCCCTTTTGAGCAGCCTATAAAATGGCATATGATAAAGAGCTTATATGTCTCAACAATGATAGATTTGTTTTAAGTAGAATAAAAGTAAGTAGGAGTTAGAAAACAATGGAAGAAAGATAATGAAGGGTAAATGAGGTCAGAAAGACCCCTGCAATGCAGTGAAAACAGCACCAGCCAATTACAACTTGAAATGATAGCATGTCCCAGAATTTCACTCTCTCTCTCCTTCTCAATTTTTCAAAATTGAGGATATTTTGCCTTCCGATAATAGAATATAATAGAGAAGAAAACTGAAGAGATGGGAAGAAAACAAAGAAAGAAAAGAAAGAGAAAAAAAAAAGTCATGTTGCTGGGAAGACATCACCTGACACCAATCCAGAAAAGATGGATGATGTTGAATCGTGGCACCTGGGGCCTTCCTCTTCAAGAGTCAGACAGGTACACTCCTGCTGGATAGAGTAGGTCACCTTGTCTCAGAACTACTTTCCCACGAACAAGCATACTTTCAGTATCCAACTTAAAGTACCATGGGCAGAGCAAAATTAAGCTGAAGGCTGAGAATTCCTGAGTTCCCTGAGGCTTGGAGAGGTACCCAAACTTTCTCTAGCAACTTCCTTTTAAGAGGGATCTCTTGAAGTAACAGTGTGAGGCTACAAGGACTTCCAAATTCATTAGCTCATTCAAGTTAATATTTTTGCTCCTTGGTGAGCAGCAGAAGCATCCTCTGTCCATCATGGTCCAAATGTTTGCATGAAAACACACATCTGCCAAATGATGCAATCTCCCCAAGGGGAAGTTGCTGCAGACACAGAAGCCAAGGAGGGTTCTATCCAGCAATTCCTCAATAGAACAGCTCCACTCCCAGCTGCCCCGTACAGTCTTTTCAGATGGTTTTATGATGTAGGCTATCAAGAGAAGATGAATCAAAACTGATGTAGAGCAGAAAGCTTTTTTTTTTTTTTTGAGATGGACTAAAAAAAAAAAAAAGCCACAGATTTGTACTTGGAGATATCTCTTGTCTAAGATAACAGAGGGATGTGTGTGCTAATGAGGAAAGGGACAGATGAAAAGTGGGTACTCCACAAAGAGAGAATATATTCTATAATTTTCTTCTTGCGAAAATACTTTAATAACTATGATTTTCCCAACTACTAGTTTTCATCTACAGAAATATAAAACACATCAAGCACATCTCCAAATGGGTTGTATACAGTACTTCAGAAAGTCTCAGAGTGGTGGCATTTACCCACGACTGAGACATTGGCTGCAGTTTTTAACAATGTCCCTGGGTTTGAGTACCAGCTCTGCTGCAGAGTCCACCTTCCTACTAACCTCTTGCACCATGGCAAGAAGCAGGTGATGGACTGTTGTAAGAAGGTCCTTGTGACTAATGTGGGAGGGACCTGTCCTAGCTTCAGCTGCACTTCAGTGCCCAGGCCCAGGACCTCTGACCTCTCAGTACAAAAGGGTTCCTCAGGCCACTATCCTCCTTCAACAGCTCCTTACTGCCCCTTAATTTTGCATCACAAAACAAAGGCTTCCAATTACCTCGCTTGCTCAGTCAAGTTCACTTTCCCAGGATAGAGTCCTTTCTAACTAGCTAGAAATTAGAGGGAAGACCAGCGGGAAGCTTGGGCTCACTTTGTCTCCTATTTCACAAGATTTGAAAGACTGAGAAGGATGAATTCAGATAAAACTGAAAAAGACAGGCATTAAGGTATCATGTGAGGGCACGGTAAAGGCTTTGGTAGTAGTCAAAGTGGAGCAGTCTACAGAATTTGGAATAATAATCTGCTTTTTACCTCACAGTAGCCAGGAGCATCATCAGAGAAAGAATGCTTGTCCTTTTCTAATTTGTTCAGACATTTCCTCTATGTTTATGTAGAGCTTGGGTTCAGTTTCTAACCACTTTTCTGATGGATCATTTGTTTTTGTTTTGTTGTTTTTCCCAGAACAGTTTTTTATCCTGGGGGAAACAACTCAGGAAACCGTAAAAAGAAAAATCCACAATCAACATGTTTGAAAAATACCAAGCACTCTATATCATCTCATAGTATAAATTCTCAAAAATTGCTAAAGGACAAAAAAAGGTAAAATAAAAACGTTAGTGATGGATCAAGCCTGTGACTATACAGTAAATGCAAATGATTTAATTGCAAAAACTCAAGAAAAAAAAAAAAGAAAGGAGGGAAAGAAGAGGATGGGTAAGGTGTGAGGAGTGATTCGAACATCCCATCCTGGAACAGGCACCATTTCCTGCTTCCCCTTCCCCACAGCTTCCAAAATTCAAACTATTCCAGTTATCCACCAATCAGATGTAACCTGGCACCTTACCTGATAATCCCACTCCCCAATCTCTGGCCCCTCTCCCTGGAGTCTACCCACCTATCTGTGGCTCAGATAACATATGCCACAAGTGCAGGGGGTTGGGGGGCGAGGGGGAGAAGCAGCACACAGCCCACATAGCCCTCCCTTCTCCTTCCCCCTCTCCCTTCCCTTCCCTTCTTACCTGGCTCTTGCCCATCCCCCTCCATCTTGTCCCTTCCCCTGTCCTGGCAGTCCCCATCCTGCGACCATGGCAAGAGACATGTCCCTTCCAGATTTCTCCCCCTCCACCCTTGTTACTGTTCCTATCTTGCTGGAATAAAGGACCTTTATGATCTTTGTCAAGAATCCCACCTTCTGTGACATTAGTATATCCATTATTCTTTAAAAAATAGTATTATCATCCATATCTATATCATGCTTACATAAAAGGTAAGAAATGAGAAAAGTAGCAATTCTGGGAAACTATACAACACCACAAGCGAAAGCACCTACCTTAACCTGAAAGTGTTTAGTGAGAGCTACTTTTTTGCTCCTTGACTCAGAATTTTCATCTTAAATTATAACATGAAAGAGCAGACAAGGGGGCTTAGATTTTATGTAATCATGTCCATTGATTCAATAAAAGGTAAATGCATTGCCATGGTTACATCTGCAATGTCCTTGATACAGACAGCTTTATCAGGGCCAATGGGACAATGACTATGAACTCATTTTTTATTTGCAGCATGAGATGCTGGAATTCTTTTTCTGCATCTCAATAAATTTCTCACAAGCAAGAACTCTTTAATTTCAAGATCCATACCTACGCCAACAACATAATGTACACATCGAAGAATGCCCAGAACGGCTGTCTGGAAACCATCATTACTGGAGATTCCTTCCTATTATTCAAAGCATCTGGGAAGTTGTTTACAACACCAGGGAATGGGATCCTTTTGCATGATCCACCTTCAAACCAGAAGATCAAATTCTGCCATCAGAGCTCCTAAATCAGGAAAAATGGGGCCTGGGAACAGAGGATTGAATTTAGCTTTGCATCAAGAACAGCTCATTTTTCTCTGCTTAGGCTATATTTTCCAGAGTAAAAGCCATTTAAAAGTTCAGAAGGTGCCAAGAACTTAAATATCAGTTAAGCCACTGTATAAGATACCCACATTCCATATCAGAGTGCATGGGTTCCAGTTCTAACCCTGCTTTGGATTCCAGCTTCTTACACATCCTGGAAAGTATTGGTGATAGCTCTAGTACTTGGGCCCTGCCATCCATATGGAAGAACCAGACTTAGAAGGAACCAGGACCTGTATTAGTTGTCTATCTGTCTCTCTAGAGATAGAGAGAGAGAGAGAGAGAGAGAGAGAGAGAGAGATGCCAAGAAGCACTAGCATTTTTTTTTTTTTACAGATTGCTGTACTTGGGATTTATGCCTTGATTTTCAGCTTTCTTCAGCTGTTCTACGTCTGATCCACATGAGGCAAATAACTAAAGAAGAGGACCCATTAAGTCCCATTTTATAGGAGACCTACTCTTCAAATTGAATTTGGGCTTCCTGAATTGGAATTCTCATGTTAATGTGGACGTTTTATAAAGTTGAACACAAACCCTCCATGAGTTCTTTAAATTAAATTGAGA